CCTTGGGTTTAGAGAGCACAGGGGGTGAAGATAAGTATCGTTTGAGCTCCTCGAATGCCCCCTGACATTCTGAAGTCCATTGGAAACCGGCGGTTTTCCTCATGATTTGGAAGAAGGGTAAGGACTTCTCCGCCGATTTTGATAAGAAGCGGTTGAGGGCTGCCAGGCGGCCCGTCAACCGTTGGACCTCCTTCACGTTGCGTGGGGGATCCATGTTGATGATGGCCTGGATTTTCTCGGGGTTGGCCTCAATACCCCTTCGGCTAACCATGTAGCCCAAGAATTTTTCCCCCTGGACGCCGAAGGTGCACTTCTTCGGGTTTAGCCGAAGGCTAAACTTCTGCATGATGGCGAAGATCTCCCTCAGGTCGTCAACATGGTTTGCTGACTGCTTTCTTTTGACGATCATATCGTCAACATATGCCTCCATGGTGCGCCCCAGGACAGCTTGAAATACCCTGGGCACGATCCGAGTGTAGGTGGCGCCTGAGTTCTTCAGGCCGAAGGCCATGACAAGGTAGCAGAAGATGCCCTCGGGAGTCATGAAGGCTGTTTTTTCAGTGTCTTCCTCGTGCATGTATATTTGATGGTATCCGCAGAATGCGTCGAGGAATGACATGATTTCACACCCCGCGGTTTCATCCACCAGTTGATCAATATTGGGCAGAGGAAAGGGGTCCATGGGACACGCCTTATTGAGATTCGTGTAGTCCACGCACATTCGGAATGAGGGCGGTTTCTGTGCGAGGACTACGTTCGCCAACCATGAGGGGTATTTCACCTCCTTGATGTGCTCGATAGAAAGAAGCATGGCGACCTCTTTCTTCACAAATTCCCTTCTCTCGGCCGAGAGGGGTCTCCTCCGCTGTTGTACTGGTTTGGCCGAGGGGTCCACCGAGAGGCGGTGGGCGATGACCCTTCGGCTGATCCCCGGCATGTCCTCCGGCCCCCATGCAAAAACAATGGAGTAGGCGCGGAGGGCGCTGATGATGCCGGTCTTCAAGTCTTCGGGGAGCTTGGCTCCAATCTTCACGACTCTCTCCGGCTTGGCCGGATCGAGCGCGAAGTCTTCTACCTCTTCGGCTGGTTCAGCCCTCGGCCTCATTTCTTCCGCTTCCACAGTTCCGGTGATGGTGTCAATGCGGAACTCCGTCTTGCTAACCTTCTTTGTAACTTGAAGGTAGCAAGCGCGGGCGAGCTTTTGGTTTCTCCTCGAGTAACCAATCCCCCCTTCGGCTGGGAACTTGAGGCAGAGGTGCCTCATGGAGATGACGGCCTCGAGATCCTCGATGGCTGGCCGGCCGAGGATGATGTTGTGGGCGCAGTCGATGTTGACGACGACGAACTCCACTTCGAGCTTGGCTCTATGGAGGCCGTCGCCGAAGATTACCGGGAGGGTTATGACCCCCTCGGAATCAATGGTGTCGCCGGTAAAACCGGCAAGAGGGGTCTTGATGGGCCGAAGGGACCCCCTCTCCAGATGCAGCTCTCTGAAGGTGCTGAGGTACATTACATTGACGGAGCTGCCCGTGTCAATGTAAGTTCTGTGGATAATGGTGTCGTTGATCTCTGTGCGGATGACGAGGGCATCCCTGTGAGGAGAAGAAGTAGGAGGGAGATCTGCGTTGGTGAAGGTGATGGGTTCCTCCCTCAGCCGCTTTACCGGGGGCATATGAGTGACTTCCCCCACGTAAAGCGATTGAGCCCACTTTTCCCGCTGGCTGGTGGAATCGCCCCCTGTATTGCCACCGGTGATCATGAGGATGTGGCGTTTCTTTTCTTGATACTGGGGGTACTCCTCCTCTTCTTCTTCCAGATTTCCAATCTCCCTCTTCTTGCCGAGGGGGGTGGTGTTGGGGTTGACCCATGCATTCCCTCTCGCAGTTTGCCCTCGGGGTGGCCCCTGATGAGGGGGGGCCTGTTGCTGAGGGCCCTGGACAAACTGGGACAGATGGCCCACTTGTATCAATTTCTCGATGGCCGTCTTCAGCTGATGGCAATCATCGGTCCTGAGCCCCTGGTGTCGGTGGAAACGACAGTAGGGGTAGTTTGGATTTATGGCAAATACCTCCGAGGGGGCGCGTGAATCTCGCTCTACGAGGCCCCTTTCTTCAGCAAAATCAAGAATAACGCTGACGGGATGCGTCAATGGTGTCCGAGGGTGCTCCAAGAGGACAAGCTGTGCCCAAGCCCTCGGGTTCCCCTTGAAACCTCCCCCGGGCTTGGCTTGGCCATGCCGGGGGCGATCACCGGAGGGGGTAGGATCCCTGGGATGATTGCGGGGAGCCCCCGGCCCTCGGTTAGCTTTGTCTTCTGGCCGAGGGCGTTGCTGGTCTGGGACATGGTGGCATTTCTCCACCTCCTCGGCCTCGGCGTACCGGTCCCCCCGCTGTAGGGCCCTTATATAATCGCGGGGGGGTTCGATGATGAGACTCCTAGAGAAGTTCCCGGGGCGGAGTACTGTTTGTAGGAGGGCCAGGAGGGTCCCGTCGTCAGCGCCATCAACTTTATCAGCCTCCGTCTTCCAGCGCTCCAGGAAGTCCCGAAGGGTCTCCTCCTTCCTCTGCCTCACCGTTAGCAAGTGGGAGAAGTGTTTTCTTGTGCGGCGCCTCCCCGCAAATTGCGTCAAGAATCGTTGGGCGAGTTCTTGCCATGAGTCAATACAGCCCTCGGGCAATCGGTTGAACCATTCGTAAGCTGGCCCCTCTAGGGTGGAGAGGAACCAGCGGCACAAATATTCATCTGATGCCCCCACCATCATCATGCTGTTTTGATACCTGCTGTAGTGCTCCTGGGGGTCAGTCTTTCCGTCATAGGGCTTGATGAGCTGCCCTCGGTATTTCTCCGGGATCCGGGCCGCCAATACCCTTGGGGTAAATGGCATCCGGGTCCGGAGTTGTATGGTGGGTTCCCCGGAGCCCTCGACTATCTTCTTCTGCATTTCTTCCATTTTCGCCATCATCGCCTCATACTTGAGGTCTGTATGAGGGGCGGAAGTGGTGGCGTGGACTTTGGTGGCCTCCATCTCGTCAAGTCGGCGCTGGAGGGCCGCAATGATTTCGTCCCGGGGGTCCTTCTGGAGGGCCTCTACCCCCTGTGAATGGACCCGGGTCGAGTGGGCTTGATTGATTTGATGGCGTGCATCGTCGGCATGGAGAGGTGCCTTGCCTTTGTCCTGAGGGGGACGTCTCTCATTGGCCCTGGAGATGGACAACCACTTTCCTAAGGTCTTTGGAACGCCCTCCCCCCGAGGCGGTCTTGGACCCCTCGGCGGTCTTGCGCCCCTCCGAGCCTCTCGAGGGCGGAGGTCCGGGGGTGCTCCTTGTTCACGTCGTGGCGGTCTCGGGACTGGACTTCCTAGGAGGCCGTATCTTGGGCCACGACCCCCTCGGAGTTCCCCATCCGGAGGACCGGGTTACCGAGGGGTCGTGGATGAGGGGGAGGCAGAATATTCTCCCCAACCTGAGGCTGGTGGGGAACCAAAGTGCCGAAGGCACCCGGGTTATGAGTGAGCGTCTGGATGAAGGCGGAGAGCGCCGATTGAACGTCGATGGTGATGACCGGGGGGCTAATTTGATTTTCGCTCCGGTCCTTTTTCTTGGCCTCGATGCCGAGGCGGGCATCGGGAGCATTTTGCTGAATCTGCTGGCGTAGGTCGACAGCCGTCTGGTCCATCCCGGCGATGACGCCGCCCCCTGGAGCCCTGTTGGAGGCTTCGGGGACGTCGACCTCGCCGAGGGCCAGGTTCCTGTCCTCTACATTCTTGGAGTTGGCACAAGTTGTTCTCACCATTTTGGATGGGTGTTTTTGTGTTTGGTCGAGGGGGAGGGTTTCTTACTTGATTGTTCGAGCTCTCAACGAGAGCACCAAATGATGGATAGTGTACCCGGGGGTAGCTTATCCGAGGGGTTATTTACGGGGAATAATAAGAGAGAAGTCAGAGCAAGTAAGTATAGAGAGAGAAAGTATATTGTAAAGTGTGGAGCGTTTTTCAGCGTGGTTACAAATGGGGAAATGGGGTGCTATTTATAGTAGCAATAAATGCCGGACAGGGACACGTGTCAAGCGATCATTGGCCGAGAGGTCACCTCAACTGGTTGGCGCTGGCAACCGCATGTGGCCGCATTTAATGCGGCTGTTGGATGGGAAGTTGTACAGGGTACGGTGATCTGTACGCATGTGGCGCGGATATCGTGTCGGAAGAGGTGCCCTCGGCTGTAGAGGACTGGCCGAGGGCTCTGAGTATTGGGGACCCCCTTGGTGCCGAGGGCTACTGCTCTCCGCCGTTTTCCCAGTAGCTTTGTTTTTGCTGTGTTGGCCCTCCTGTGAGAGTTAGAGCCCTCGGCCAGGGGGCCGAAGGCACCCCTGGTGCGCATTTGTGGGCTGCTTGGTATCTTGGGCGCCGTGATTTGGGCCTGTTGTGCTTTCCGGGCCTGTTGGGCCTTTATTGGAGCAGTAGGAGTCTGTGGGCCGGGGGTTTCCGAGCCATATACTCCATCATGGGACGTCCTAAAAAACTTTGCCACTTTCCCTTTTAATCAATTTATTTGTGGTTTCTGTTATTTCTCTCTCCTCTGCACAAATCTCAATCACACAGTTTTTACTTTATTATTTTTCGTACCGGTCAACATTGGCAAAGTTTTAAGGGACGGAGGTAGTATTAGAAATTGGGTTATAAAAAGGTCTTTTGAAAGACTGAGACTATAAAAGCATATTATATACGATTATGTTGTAATAATATTAATAATAATATGATAGAGTATATAGACTCGGCCCCCCGGGTCTCACGACTATTGGACCCGGACAACGGCCCACGTACACTCAGCTGATAGTATTTTCATTATTGTACATTATCATTATTATTCAGGTGTTCTAGATTAGCCTTTTCTATTATCAGTCCATTTATGTAACCGGGTCTGTCAGGCCCATATTAGAGGCCCAGACCCGGATATTCTTCTATATATACTCCCTTAGAGAGTTCTTGTAAATCTAATTCACAACTCATTCATACATCACTATTCATTCATCTTCTTCCTCACATTAGCCCAAATCTCTCCATTTATTATATAGTTTGGATCCCTATAATCCATTATTGGTGCTTTCATCGAGAGATTAGAGCAAAATCAAGTTAGGTTCCTCCCAAAATGCCCCAAAAAAAAAATCATCCAAAATACAAAAAATCAATCTGAAAAAAGCAACGACAAGCATATGGGATTTCTGGGACAGAGGTCGGAGATGTCCTCGCCGGAAAGGTAGCCACCGTCCTGGTCTCCGCCGCACGCTAGCGTCAGAAGCCGCCGTCCCAGGTCTGAGCCGAAGCTGCCCTGCACCATCTGCTGCAGCTCGCTTCACAGAGCACGAGTTCCGCTGCCTCCGTCACAGCGCTGCTAGCGTCGCGCTTGGTCAACTACGCGGCTCGACGGTTGGAGCCTGAGCCATGACTGGAGAATGACCCTAAATATCCACCATTAATGGCCCCTACGAGCTTTAGGAGCGACAGAATGTGCACCAATGGACCCCTGTGGATGCGGAACTCTCACGATGAGAGAACTCGAAGAGCGTATCGGACGCCGTCTGAGGAAGCTTCTCCGGTGCTGCCGGAGTCCTAGCGAAATCAAAATCGCTCCCGGTCGTTTCGTTCTGCCACCGCCCCCCCACCTGAGGAATGTACCAGTCTCCAACAGAGGAAGCTTCGTCGCCACTGGTACTGCCTGAGGGAGTCTCCATCACTATCCACACTGTCAGCTCCTCACATGGACAACTGGACAAGCTACAACAGCAGTTGTGCGCTGCTTTGGGGGGTCTTGGACGTCGCAGGCAAGGCTCTCCTCTTGCCAGCGAGGAAGCAGGCAAAGGTCTAGGTCAAGAGTATTGATGAGCTGCCCAATGAGGAATTAAGGACCCAATTTCTACATGGGTCCATCATTTCAGCCCAAGTATCCGATTACTTCAACCCCAAGATTAATTCTCAAAAGCTGATGACCTCAATCACAACAACATATTTCAGCCCATTATTCTGGCCCAAATAAGAGCTAAGTGCCCGATACTTCTATTTATACACTTAAAATATTTATTAAATGATAGTAGTATAATTATTACTATTATTAATTATATTATTTCCACCACCATTATGGCGGGTAAAAAACCCCCGAGGTGGTGAAGACCATTATGAGGGATTAAAATTTCCCGAGGTCACTAATGAAAATTTATTCTTGGCGTTAGTATTTTTATCATCACCATTAGAGCGGGTTAAAACCCCCAGAGCGGTGAACCAGAGCTCTAGTCTACTGAACATCTTTATTTGATGATTTGAATTATATTTGGGTCCCTCGACCTACCCTAGCCACCTTTATTTGCTGACTCGGGCATCTAAAAATGAGAGCTGCTACCGGCCGCATACGACATTATGCTTAAGAGCGGTAAACGGTACACCTCGTTCTCCGAGACGCTAATCGCGTCGCCCAAAAGCCGTTGCCATGAACAACGCACCTATTGTATTCCGCTTATTTTTTGAAAATGTAAATAGAAGATACCACGTATCGTATCAGCAACCTTAGAGCGAAGGGCTCAGGTATGCTCCACTTTGTATTTTGTATCAACGAAAGGCTCAGGCCCAGCTGAGAGAGCACGTCGTATCGGCCCCTTAGAGCGAAACGCTCAGGCATGGCCGACGATGTCCTCAGGACGACGGGCCCGCAAACGGCCCACGTCTTGAAATGGGAAGTTCACCGCGTCGTCCACGCGCCTGATCGCAGGACGACAGGCCTGAAATCATGGCCGAGGTGACCAAATCCCCAAACTCAGGGTCGGGCAACGGCAACCGTTGGAAACCGACCAATAGTCGAGCCCGCGTCATAAATAGGCGACGGGACCCCCCTGAGATCATGGACGTTATAAACGAAGTCCAAAACGGCCGGAGGACTATCGACCCCTATGGCCGAAGGCTGAAAGAAGGACACTCCCCGAAATAGGGAACAAAAAAAAAGAGGGAAGCCAAGAACCGCGCGCACTCGCCGGCCTCGAGCAACAAAAAATGAAATCCCCAAAATTTGACTAAGTACATATCAGACAAATACTATACATGTCAGACGAGCGCCCAGCGCCGTCCCTCTTTTTTTAGACGAGCGCCCAGCACCATCCCTCATTTTTTAGACGAGCGCACAGCGCCGTCCCTCATTTTCAGATGACCGCCCAGTGCCGTCCATCATTTCAGACGAGCGCCCAGCACCATCCATCATCTCAGACGAGCGCCCAGTGCCGTCCATCATCTCAGACGAGCGCCCAGCGCCGTCCATCATCTCAAACGAGCGCCCAACGTCGTCCATCAACTCAGACGAGCGCCCAACGCCGTCCATCATCTTAGACGAGCGCCCATCGCCGTCCCTCATTTTTTAGACGAGTGCCCAACGCCGTCCCTCATTTTCAGACGAGCGCCCAGCGCCGTCTATCATCTCAGACGAGCGCCCAGCCCCGTCCATCATCTTAGACGAGCGCCCAACGCCGTCCCTCATTTTCAGACGAGCGCCGTCTATCATCTCAGACGAGCGCCCAACGCCGTCCCTCATTTTCAGACCAGCGCCGTCTATCATCTCAGACGAGCGCCCATCGTCGTCCATCATCTTAGATGAGCGCCCAACGCCGTCCTTCATCTTCAGACGAGCGCCCAGCGCCGTCCTTCATCTTCAGACGAGCGCCCAGCTCCGTCCTTAGACGAGCGCCCAGTGCCTTCCATCATCTCAGATGAGCGCCCAGCGCCGTCAATCATCTAAGACGAGCGCCCAGCGCCGTCCATCATCTCAGACGAGCGCCCAACGCCGTCCATCATCTCAGACAAGCGCCCAACGTCGTCCATCATCTTAGACGAGTGCTTAGCGCCATCCCTCATTTTTTAGACGAGCGCCCAGCGCCGTCCCTCATCTCAGACGAGCGCCCAGCGCCGTCCATCATCTTAGACGAGCGCCCAACTCCGTCCCTCATTTTCAGACGAGCGCCCAGCGCTGTCCATCATTTCAGACGAGCGCCCAGCGCCTTCCCTCATCTTAGACGAGCGCCCAACGCCGTCCTTCATTTTTAGACGAGCGCCCAGTGCCGTCCCTCATTTTCAGAGGAGCGCCCAACGCCGTCCATCATCTCAGACGAGCGCCCAGCGCCGTCCATCATCTTAGACGAACGCGCAACGCCGTCCCTCATTTTTTAGACGAGCGCCCAGCGTCGTCCCTCATTTTCAGACAAGCGCCCAGCACCGTGCATCATCTCAGACGAGCGCCCAACACCGTCCATCATCTCAGACGAGCGCCCAGCGCCGTCCATCATCTCAGACGAGCGCCCAGCGCCGTCCATCATCTTAGACGAGCGCCCAGAGCCGTCCCTCATTTTCAGACGAGCGCCCAGCGTCGTCCCTCATCTCAGACGAGCGCCCAGCGCCGTCCCTCATCTACGGACCAGCTCCACCGTCCTACATGTTTAGTCCGGCGCCAACGCCTTGCCCCGTCATCATATTATCGGATCGGCTTCTCAGCATCGCTGCTCGCGCATCACGATCGGCTCTTCGGCCCCGACGTGATTATTTATCTCAAGAACGGCTTCCTCAGCGCCGAGAGTCTTGAGCTAGCGATCGGGCTCACCATCCCTTCCTGGATGGTGACCATCACCTTTATATGACGATCAGCTTCATCAGCGCCTCGTCATCATATTATAGGACCGGCTCTTCATCACCGTTGTCCTCACATCACGACCGGCCCCTCGGCCTCGGCGTGATCATCTATCTCAAGACCGGCTTCCTCAGCACCGCGAGTCTTGAGCCAGCGATCGGGCTCGCCATCCCTTCCCGGATGGTGACCATCGCCTCTATATGACGATCGGCTTCACCATCGCCTCGTCATCATCATTTGGACCGACTCCTCATCGTTGTCATCCTCATATCACGACCGACCCCCTCGGCCTCGACGTGATTATTTATCTCGAGACCGGTCTTAGTCATTCTTTTACCGGATGACGACCGTTGCATGGATTTTTGGACCGACCCCTCATCACCGTCGTCCTCACATCACGCCCGGCCCCTCGGCCTCGGCGTGATTATCTATCTCAAGACCGGCTTCCTCAGCGCCGAGAGTCTTGAGCCAGCGATCGGGCTCGCCATCCCTTCCTGGATGGTGACCATCGCCTCTATATGGCGACCGGCTCATCATTGCCCCGTCCTCATATTTCAGATTGGCTCTTTTCATTGCCATCCGCGCATCACGACCGGCCCCTCGGCCTCGGCGTGACTATCTATCTCAAGACCGGCTTCCTCAGTGCCGAGAGTCTTGAGCTAGCGATCGGGCTCACGATCCCTTCCTTGATGGTGACCATCGCCCGTATATAACGATCGGCTTCATTCTTGCCTCGTCATCATATTATCGGATCGGCTCATCATCTCCGTCCGCACATCACGATCGGCCCCTCGGCCTCGGCGTGATTATCTATCCCCAAGACCGGTCTCAGTCATTCCTTCATCGGATGGTGACCGCTTCTTGGACTTTTGGATCAGCCTCATAGTGCTGACGACCTCGCATCACGATCGGCCCCTCGGCCACGACGTCACACCCTATCCCAACACCAGCTTCATCAGCGCCGAGTGTGTTGGGCTAGCGATCAGGCTCGCCATCCCCTCCTGGATGGTGACTATCGCCTCTATATGACGATCGGCTTCATCATCGCCTCGTCATCATATTTCGGACTGGCTCCTCATCATTGTCATCCGCACATCGCGATCAGCCTCTCGGCCGCGACGTGATTATTTATCTCAAGACCGGCTCCCAGCGCCGAAGTCTTGTTATAGCGATTGGGCTCGCCATCCCTTCCCGGACGGCGACCGTCGCCCCTATATGACACACGGCTTATCATCGCCTCGTCCTCACATTTAGACCGGCCCCAGCGCTGAAGTCCTTATCTAGCGACCAGGCTCGCCAATCCCTTCCTGGATGGTGACCGTCGCCTTCATATGACACGCGGCTTATCATTGCCTCATCCTCATATTTGGACCGGCTCGTCAGCGCCGTCGTCCTCATATTCGGACCGACTCATTTGATGACGTCGAGCTCATCTACAGGCCCATCGGCCATATGTCGTTCTGTCATCTTTATTTGATGACGTAGAACTCATTTGTAGGCCTCTGAGCCATACATCACCCCGTCATCTTTATTTGACGACGTGGAGCTCTTATGCAGGCCCCTCGGCCGCACTATCGCCCCGTCGTCTTTATTTGACGACGTAGAGCTCTTATGCAGGCCCCTCGGCCGCACCATCGCCCCGTCGTCTTTATTTGACGACGTGGGGCTCTTATGCAGGCCCCTCGGCCACCCATCGCCCCGTCGTCTTTATTTGACGACATGGAGCTCTTATGCAGGCCCCTCGGCCGCACCATCGCCCCGTCGTCTTTATTTGATGACGTGGAGCTCTTATGCAGGCCCCTCGGCCGCACACATCGCCCAATCGTCTTTATTTGACGACGTGGAGCTCTATGCAGGTCCCTCGACCATACATCGCCTCTTCGTCCTTATTCGACAACGTGGAGCTCTCGTACACGCCTCTTGGCTCATCGGCCTTACGTTCTGGTCATCTTTATTTGATGAACCAGACATCATATTGTGGACGGTCGCTCGACTCATCCCTTAGTCATCTTTATTTGATGACTAGGACTACTGATCATGATGAGCTACCCACATCTAGAGATCGGTCTCGACCATCCCCCCAGCAGACGGGCACCGCTGCAGCTCCATCTCCAGGCCGAAGGGCTCGCACCTTTTGTTTCATTTTGGGGGCATCCGGTGTACTCTTTTTCCCTCATTAGGATTTTTCCCCACATGGTTTTTCCTAATGAGTTTTTTAACGAGGCATCTCCCCATCGTGGATCAAAAGGTGTCAACCCTCGCCCCCCTGTTGAAGACATCATCCGAAACGCATTACTCTACTTATCTTCACCTCATTACACTCGCCTCAAGGAGTGGGGGACTGGAAGAGCGGGGGACTTAGCGTCTCCGTTAACCAAAGAAGCAGAAATTCAAATTTTTGTTCACGAAGTTTACTCACCAGACGACGACAGATCAGCACACAGTTCTACTCTCTTTCGCCTCGAATACTCTCGACTCAGAGAGTGGGGGACTCCTGATAGAGTATATAGACTCGGACCCCCGGGTCTCACGACTATTGGACCCGGACAGCGGCCCACGTACACTCAGCTGATAGCATTTTCATTATTGTACATTATTATTATTATTATTATTCAGGTGTTCTAGATTAGCCTTTTCTATTATCAGTCCATTTATGTAACCGGGTCTGTCAGGCCCATATTAGAGGCCCAGACCCGGATATTCTTCTATATATACTCCCTTAAGGAGTTCTTGTAAACCTAATTCACAACTCATTCATACATTACTATTCATTCATCTTCTTCCTCACATTAGCCCAAATCTCTCCATTTATTATATAGTTTGGATCCCTATAATCCATCATAATAAATATCAGGTTTTGCCTACTTAGCCCAAATACACACTTTATCAGTATGTATAAACATCCAAAATGAGTATTAGTTTTAGGGTATCTCACTATCTCGATCATTATCACTTTATGTATTAGAGCATCTCTAATGTTACAATGTGCACGATGCAAATGAGACATGAAAGAACCACATATATATTATCTTTCCCTTATTTAAATGATTTTATACAATAGGGAGAGAGATAATTTATTTGCTAATATTTATGTGGTTTTCTCTCATTCTCTCATGTCACATATGCTCAGTGCATATTAATGTATCGGAGATGCTCTTAGTGTGTGTGTACTAATAAGAAATATTAAACGAGTCCGGGTCCTTAACGGGTCGGAATTGTATGTACCATACATGCCTCATTTATTAAAAATATTAACGGGTCCAAGTTTGGATAAATAGAATAAAAATATAAATCCATATTCGTTAAAACAATCGGGTCCGGGTCTAGACCCGAGATATTGATAGGCCTAGACGGAGGTAGTATATTACATTAAGACTCCTTTTCCTAATCTTTATTCTCAATTAGTCTTATTGATAATACGAGACACAATTCTTCTTGAATTTGCAAGAAAGAAATTAAAATAAAACAGGAGAACTTCATTTTGTTCGAATCAATCAGCAGATTAGTAACAACAATGAGATGAGTAAGGATGTTTTTACTTGGACCGTAATTTGCTGGTCTGGTCTGATCTGGTCTGGTCTGATCTGGTCTGGTCTGAACTGGTCTGGTCTGATCTGGTTTGGTCTCTTTGTATTTTTATAACTATCCAAGTCTGGTCTGGTCTGGTCTGGTCTGGGATGAATTACAGTCCAAGTAACAACAATCATCTCCAATTCATCCCATCTACCACTCGGGACTCCAAAAATTACTCTTTCTTTCCGACTCTTGTAAAATCTAACCAGAGTTTTTTCCACTTTTAGTCCTCCGACTATTATGTCATTGACAATTTTGGTACCCGACTTTGATTTTTTCCATTTTTAGTCCATGACTATTGCGCTAGAGACACTTTTGGTACCCGTCTTTGAAAATTTCCATATTTAGTCCTTCAACTTTTATGAAAGTGACACTTTTGGTCCTCCAACTATTATAATAGTGACATTTTTAGTCTTCCACTTATTGTGTTAAAATCATAATGGGAGGACTAAAAGTGTCAATTTGACAATACTCAGGGATTAAATGTGGAAAACCTTGAAGTCGGGGACTAAAAGTGTCTCTAGCACAATAGTCGGGGACTAAAAATGGAAAAATTAAAAGTCGAGTACCAAAGTATCATTGACATAATAGTCGAGGGATCAAAAATGGCAAAAACTCAATCTAACCAGAAACGTCAAGACTTTTATTTCTTAGCACTATTTGTAGATGTTGATTTACACACTCGTTTACACGTCAAGTGTATTTACACACCAAGTGTATTTTATCAGTACACAAACAATTGATTTTCATTTTAATATGGAAATATCTTTAATCTCATTATCCTATCTCACAAAAACTCACAAATTGCGAGTCATCTTCTAAGTATGATCTTATTCAATAATTTGGTACTAAAGTATTCAGGATTTGATTAAAGAAATATAAACGAAACATCCTTGATTAAAATTCTGGCACAAATCATTGGAACGGTGGGAGTTTTCGAGCAATCCTATGGGAACGTATCAGGGATTTTTTTACGGAAAATACTTGCATGTTTTCATATAAATTCGTGACGAACTTCTAGGGGATGAAATCCATGACAAAAATGCTATTATTTTGTAGTGTACAATTTCCGACCACTCTTGACTTATACGGAGTATATGTTAAGTATCACGGAAATTTTCAGTTGCACTTATTTATTTTTCCATAAACTATATTTATAGTAGTGCACTATATATGAAGCACGGAAACTCTCCGCGGCTTACGTTTCCCTGTTTCGGAAACTTGAGTGCGTTTCGGAACTTCGAAAACTTCAAATTCTCGTTTCGGGGCCGTTTCCGTAATTAAGAAAAATTGGGAAACCCATTTCCCTAAATAATTATGGAGTAGCATTTTGGAAACTTTAGATTTCCAACTTTTCTCTTTTTAAAAAGATTATGTGATGAAAATATCCAGCCCAACCTGAAAATTTAAAAAAAATTGAAAAAAAAAATTGTTTTGGCCCGAACCGGGCCCGGGCCTTGTTTTGGGTGACCCGAGCCCGGACCGGAAAACCCACGGGTCGGGCCTACCCGGACCGGTCACTGACCGGGCCACCGGGTCGGGCCGGGCCGAAACAGTACCGGTCCCGGGCCGGTTCCGGGTCGGGCCACCCGGCCCGAGTCCATCAATAGTCCGAATTGCTTTCCTCAATACAACCAGCACACATGTATGCGAGTTGGTCAATAACAAACATAAAATAAAAGAAAAGTGATTAATATTTTTATATAATTTAATCTTTTTTTATAGACTTGTATTTCCAATCAAAACATTACGACTCGTGACTTTCAAATTTCCAAATTATTACTTTCTTGAATATATTTCCAAATTGTTACTTTAGAGTGTTATATGTATGACTAATCATAAACATGGTTTGACTTCTTTTTAAACGAAAATAAACAAATACACAAAATTTATGAACCATAATAGGTTTTGACGCATTAAATCCGTACAAGGACAATTTATAAATCTATAATAACTTGGGTTACTCACTAATTGCATAATTCTCCCTATTACATATTAGGTGACAACTCCGATACCCATTTAAAAAATGGGGTACCGTACCTACCACTCACTTGATTGATTCAAATCACTACATCATTTTTAATTTAGATTTAAATAATTCAACTACATCATTCTTATTGGTCCATGTGGACAAAGATATGGTACCTTCAGGGTACCATAGAATATACCTGCATATTAACAACAAACTAAATTAGTTTGCCATATCACGTGTCCAATAACGGTGTAAGTAATCACTTCGTCGGATTTGAATACTAACTTAGTACGTGACTCGTCCTTTTCGTTTGCTCACCTCTTAAAACCCAAAACCTCATTTTCTCTTTACTATACTCTTGTTATTGATGCGCGCGATCGATTTTTTATCTGCAACTATGACTAGATATAGGTATTATTGAGAGTGATAGCCTACTATCTTAATATATGACTTTATCACATCAAATTTTACTGATGTGAGACTTCGACAACCCTCACCCCGATCAAATACTTCGTGTGAATTGTGTGAATTGTGGTATCATTCATTTTTTTTAACAATCACATTATCTTTTTTTATATGGACCCCAAACCATGGTTATAGATCGGTTTGGCTCTGATACCATAAATAAACATATATTTAGGAATAACTGAATAGCTAACATAATATGGTAAGAGAGGTGTTGAAGTCCACGAGTAAAATATCTTTGCGTATATAATAAGCGCCTCTTATTGTTACATGGTTCTTTTTCCATCCTTATTCCGTCTAAGTAACTAACGACATCACAAAATCAAGATTTCACCGCTTAACAACGTACCTCTTCAAGGCGTCCATTCAAACCGTCTAGGATTCTGGGAACCTCCCCCTTGACGGCCTCTTTGTTCTTCCATAAAAGATATCTACACTTTCTTTTTCGCCTGTCCATCTTGTACATGCTTTCTCCGGGTATTCCTTTAATCATTTCTCACCCAAAACAAAAAATATTGTCTTAATATATTTGCTTTCTAGTCTATGTAACTACTGCTTCTGATCGAACAACAATGTGGATTTACAGTTCCTCTTCTTGTGCCTTTTTAGAAGTATTTGACAAAAAGCCTATTATGTAGTTCACAATTTATTTTTGCAAAAAAACTTTCTCAAAGTGATTAGTTTTCAAGAAAGTCGTTGCCAGGGCCGGCCTTGACGTATAATGGGCCCTGTTCGAAATTGAATATTCAGGTCCTTAAGTATAAAACAAAATACTGAATAACAAAATAATTGAAATTTATATTCAGTATTATATTTTATGTTTTTAATACTCAGACTGATATTTTTAACTCTAGAAGAAGCCAACGATCATTGCGTTCAGATTCGTAGAGAAGAAGTCTTTAGAAATTAGATTAGATTTAATTGTCTAAAGAATAAAGGTGCAAGGCTAGGGTGATTCTTACCCTTTTCTCCCCAATTCTCCATATTCCTTTTTGTCCTAAAATTCGACTGCAGATAAAATTTAAACAAAAAACTTACCCCATAAGTAATTGTGGTTTACTTACCCAACATTTTCACGCTAATCAAATTGTAGTTTCATGCCACGTTTTCATTCTAGTGGTATATGTATACACATATAGCACACGATTTTATTTGCATTTTGGAATTGGCTTTAATCCTACCTACAAATCTGCAATGCCGCAAATGAACAGAGCAAATATAACATTCAGCGTAATAATCGATCAAATTATTGCACAAATACTTAACATACGGAGTATTAAAAATTAGGCCCTCTCCTGATCTGGGCCCTGTTCGGCCGCACCTCCTAAACATGGTCAGGGCCGGCCCTGGTCGTTGCAACACAAAAGGAAATCTATTGTTTTCAGTTCAGGTGCAAATTTTTATTTAGTACCCAAAACCCTTTTTTATTTACAATGATTTTCATATGACATATCATCAACTGCTTTTGTTCAAAACTATAAAATTTAATTAAATGTATTGTTTAAACTACAATAAAATTAAGATTACAAATGTGAACTATCTTAACCTTATGCATTATGTATTTTCTACATAGTTGAGTTCTTCTGATATTTAAGGTGGTTCAAGATTCTAAGGTGTTAGTTATGCACATTGCATGAAGTGTACATCATTTGAGAACCTGACATGCTAACTAACTAAGTTAAACATATTGTTTAGGCAAGACATCCAGGCATTTGTCCCTATTTATTAGGTATTGACAATTTAATCTTTGTGGCCTTTTTCTTATTGTCTGAAATAGTACCATAACATTCATTCAGTTCAAAAACTTATTCATAATTAATTGTTTAATAAGGAATCATATGCATTTGTTATGACTAAGTAATCAGTTAGACTCTAAAT